TATCAAATAAACACAATACCTTATATTTTAGTTTAGTTTAAATACAATAGCACAGGGCAGGAACAAGGTCCATGGTGCTGAAGATCTGTCATGCCATCAATATGATGTGTCATGACAAACTTCCTATTGTTACAGTTTAGGCAAGCTCCATTCAAGATGCAGAGAATGTGGAGGCTTACTGAAACAAATGGTGTAATATCCACTCCCTCAGTGTTTCAGCATTAGATATCTACAGACACATTTGCTTCATCCTCAGAATAGAATCTGTCATTTACCTTTAAATTCCGTAGACTGAGTCCCTTAAAGCTCCTGTTCACTTCTGTTCCTTTAAAGCACAGAAGCCCCACACAGAGGCATCTATCTTGTTGCTAGGCAAAATACTTTTTCTGCCCTACAACACCAATATGAGAATAGCAGCTACGCTGCCTGAGCTGATTTCAGCCATGCTAGGAATTGCCTCATCTGAGTTTAGATGATGCAGTGAGGTCACTCTCAAGCAAAATATACATTTCCCTGCAGAGGATGATCTCATGCTAGTAAGGACCATGGGGGCTGAGAGCTCTTTTTACACCATTTTATTTGGTAAAAAACACAATTATTTAAAAATCCTGTGATGCAGAGATAGAGAATGTACATATAGTATTATGCACATTATGTTTATATACAGTCTTACTACAAATATATAACCTTACTATAACCCTTGAAAGTAAAAAGCAGTAAATAAGCTGTTTGAAAGAGTCCAAAATTTAGAGCTGTCAGCAAGCTCTGAGAAAGACAATTAACAATTTGTATAGCAGTAAAACCAAGAATATATTTTGCCCTATATAAGTGCAGTTGTTCCAGTTTTTCTGTTTTGACAGGATAATGATAAATAAAACAGTATATTTATTCCATTCTAGTCTTTTATTTCACCTGGAGCTAATTAAACTAGCATCATCACTGTTGTCATATAAGAACCATCAAGTTTTTTATTCAAAGCAGTATTTGCCTGAATTGTGAACCATACAAGACACGTTAACGATATAATGATAAAAATAACGCCAAAGCATCTCAGATGGAAGAGGAAGCAAATAACTGATCTCTAGTAGCCCGAAGCACATGCAAACCACAGCCGTCAGGAGAGCACCTGCTCACTACAGGCCAGCTGCTCCAAGCAGCCACCACAGCCCTGCTAAAACACGTCCAAAACAGAACCCAGGCTCATAAAACAGCTACGAAGGGCGCAAAAGGGCACGGTTTGCCATCTCGCTTGCTTGAGAGATAAGACGACAAACATCCAAGGCAGCTTTGTTATGTGCATGTGTAAGGCGCACCACAGTGCCAACGGAGACACAGAAAACAAATATTTTTATACTACATAGTTTTATTCATAATTAGATAGTAGCGGAAGCAAAACTACGAGATGGCTATATATATATATAAACAAAAATTAAATACACGCTGTGTGGCACTATGCCTGCACTAAATCCTGCGTTTGCCAGTGGGGGCATGCTACACAGGGACAGCACTTCACACAGCCCCTGGTGCAGGAAAGCACTCGCACCCAGCCAGCTCGCTGCTCTTCCGGAGACAAGCGACGTTTTCCTTAACCAGCACACTGAATTTACCCCCAGGTCGGGGGGCCCGTGCTTACTCGCCCATCTACACCCATTACCACACCACCAGCGCAGACAACAACCTCAAGGAGCTGGCTGGAGAGGTAGGATGCGCATTTCCGAGCCTGCCTACCAGGCGCGGGGAGACACCACTGGCAGGGGGGTTTTGTTTGCTTGTTTTTAATTTAGGAAGCTTTCCCAATATTCAAATGGACAAACGCCAACATGCAGCCTTCTGAAGGAAGAAGGAAAAGAAAAACAAAGCAAACAAAAGATAGCAAGAAGCAGCAAACAAAACAAACAAAAGAAAACGCAAACAAAAGCGCAGCAGCCGAAACCCAGCGCTTTCCCGTCCCTGGAGCGCGCCAAGAGCTCCACGGCTCTCCTCTGCCCCCCACACCTCGCCGTTCCCCCGCCCCGGGGCC